GGAGATGGGAATTATCACGGACCCAACGGGGGACACGTGACTCTATCCTGCAACTCAAGGCCTTCACTCAACCCTTGGTGAATCCTCAAGGATTTAGGGAGAAAGGGATAATTTACACACCAAGAGCACACCAGAACCGGCACCCGCGGCTCCGGAATAACATGGAAAATGTTCTCCCATGGAGGGGGAAGCCAAGGGGCCATGGGGACAGGGAGGTGGCACTGGATGGTCTCATCCCTGGAAGTGTCCAAGGCCAGGATGGATGGGGCTTGGAGCAACCTGGGATAGTGGGAGGTGTCCCTACCTTGGAACTGGATGCTCTTCAAAGGTCACTTCCAACCCAAAGCATTCCATGATTCCATGAACCGGGTGATGAGTTGGGTCAACTGGTTGGCGACTGATGTCCAAAAACCAGGGAGAGAGCAAAAAGAAGCTGGAAACCAAAACCCAACCAGCACGAAAGGAAGGAAGGAAGGGGTGAGATGAGGAGGTTGGCGTGTCCAGGTGACCTGGTACATCATCCCAAAATCCTGGTCGCTGGTAGGGATGGGGTTTCCTTCTCCTCTTGGATGCTCAGCCATAGATCTCGTTTCCCTCAGGCAGTGGCACTTGGACCCACCACTGTTGCTGAACCCCCTTTCAAACCCAACATTCCCCATTTACCAAACCCTACATCCCCCTACTTTACCTTCCAACCCAAAATCCTGAAGGATTTAGGATACTTGAAACCAGGGAAAAAAAAATCCTTGCAATGGCAGAACCATTTCCATTAGAAAAGATCTCCTGGATCACCGAGCCCAACCTTTGATCCACCCCCAGCCCAGAGCACTGAGTGCCACATCCAGTCCTTCCTTGGACACCTCCAGGGACAATGACAACGGAAAATATTTTCCTCCCAAATCCCTTCAACGCTCCAGGCCACGGAACAGACCAAAAAAACCCCCAAATAAACAGGATAAAAACAAAGCTCAACAAGAAAACAAAACTAAACCACCCGAGTCCTTTCTCCTGAGCCGGCATTTCTCTGACAAATGTTGGATTATCTTGTTCTTTACTTATTTATAGAGCTGGAGGGGTTGGATTGTCCCTCAGGACGAGCCGTGAAGTTTTTGGGAAGACGTGTCAGATTCTTTGCAGAAAGGTGACTTCTGTTTTCCACACTCGCAGCAGGATTTTAGGAAAAAATCTCTTCAAACTGGGTCAGCGCTCGAGTCGCAGCTCGGGGGTCTCTGAACACGAGAATGAGGACTCTGCACTCCCAAAAATGTGGCTTAAAAGCGCCTCTGGATGTCCAGGGTTGGAGTCTCCTGCTGGAGTTCAGAGAATCCTACAATATGTCTGACTTGGGACACACGAGGATCACGAGTCCAACTCCTGGACATCCCAGAAATCCCACCACATCCCATCTAAACCTACTCTCTACCAGCTTGAAGCCATTCCCTCTCATCCTGTCACTCCAGGTCCGTGAAAAAATTCCTCCATCTTCCTTTTCTGCTCCTTTCAGGTCCTGAAAAGCCACAACTGGGTCACCCCAGAGCCTTCTCTTTTCCAGGATGAACAATCCCACATCTCCCAGCCTTTCCTTGGAGGAAAGGTGCTCCATCCTTCTAACCAGCAACTCCAGGAGGCTTCAGCTGCCTCTGGACAAGCTCTGTGACATCTGGACATCCCCACTTGCTGGTGGTCACATCTCCTGACAACCCAAAAATTCCACCACACCTCATTTAAACCTCCTCTCTGCCAGCTTGAAGCCATTCCCTCCTGTCCTGCACTCCAGACCCTTGCAAAAATTCCCTCTCCATCTCCCTTTTCCACTCCCCTCAGGTCCTGAACAGCCACAATTGGGTCACCCCGGAGCCTTCTCTTTTCCAGGATGAATGATCCCACATCTCCCAGGGATAGGGAAAGGTGCTCCATCCTTCTAACCAGAAACTCCAGAGGGCTTCAGCTGCCTCTGGACAAGCTCTGTGACTCCTGGACATCCAGAAATCCCACCACATCCCATCTAAACCTACCCTCTGCCAGCTTGAAGCCATTCCCTCTCATCCTCTCACTCCAAGCCTGTGAAAAAATTCCCTCTCCATCTCCCTTTTCCTCTCCCCTCAGGTCCTGGAAGGTCACAACTGGGTCACCCCAAAGCCTTCCCTTCTCCAGGCTGAACGATCCCACATCTCCCAGGGATAGGGAAAGATGCTTCATCCTTCTAACCAGCAACTCCAGGAGGCTTAAGCTGCCTCTGGACAAGTTCTGTGATTCCACCAGGACATCCCCATTTCCTGGTGGCCACATCTCCTGACAACCCAAAAATTCCACCACACCTCATCTAAACCTCCTCTCTGCCAGCTTGAAGCCATTCCCTCTCATCCTGTCACTCCAGGCCTGTGAAAAAATTCCCTCTCCATCTCCCTTTTCCGCTCCCCTCAGGTCCTGGAAGGCCACAATTGAGTCACCCTGGAGCCTTCTCTTCTCCAGGCTCAACAATCCCAAATCTCCCAGGGATAGGGAAAGGTGCTCCATCCTTCAAACCATCAATTCCAGGAGGCTTCAGCTGCCTCTGGACAAGGTCTGTGACTCCCGGACATCCTAACTTTCTGGTGGCCACATCTCCTGACACCATGGGATCCACAGGAAGAGCTTGGAAGCATCCACCAAAACTCCTCCCGACGGAAAGAGAACGTGAAGGGAGGGGACATCCCTTCACAAGTTTTTTTTTTATTTAAGGGATGACCAACCTCAAAGTCAACGGGAAGCAAATCCCAGCCCTCGGGAGCTGCGCTCCGGCAAAGCGGAGGGAGGGGAAGGGGAGGAGTGAAAAAGGAGGATCAATAAATCTTCCCCTCATTCACGACGATCCGGAGCTCTTATTAAGTAAATTAATTTAAGTTAATTTAACTCGATCATGACTTCCCGATCACGGTGATTTAGTGAAGAGGGGGGGGTGGAAATTGCATTAGGAAAGGGCCACACCGGCTTGGATGGAAGGAGGGAAGAAAATGAGATCCACTTAGGAGCGCGAATTAATATGGAAATAGCGGGTGTAAATTTAACCTTATCGAGAGAGGGGAAATTATCTTCATAAATTGGGAGGAATGGGCCCCGGGTCGCTTATAAATCTATTTAAAACCAAAATATTACCAAAAGTGGAGGAAAATTAATTTCAAATATACTCCCACCTCCTCGCCTCGAGGCCAAGTCAGCGGCAGGGCAGAGTTTAATGCAAGCCGGCGATGACCGGGGGGATGGAACTCATTCCCGAGGGATCGGGATCAGGTGCCTCCTGCAGCTCTCCCTGGCACTCGTTTCCCAAAGCCACGCCCCTCGTCACCCTATTCCAGTGATTTCTTGGCAACAAGGGTGACATCCTGGATGCCCCAGAGCGAGTAAAACCCTGGGATGTCACTTCTGGACATCCCAAAAACTGGATTTCACGGAAGGAGTTGCTCCTCAGTGGCAGCTGGGAAGAAATTTGGGAGCAGAGTGCGGCACCACCGGTTGAATTCCCACTTTTGGCTTAAGAATAGGACGTTAAAAATATCAAATTATTATAAAATATTATAAGTATTAAAATCAGAATGTTACAGAAATATTAAAAATAATTAAAATAATTAAAAATCATTAAAAATAATTGTCCAATCAGGAGAGAAGATAAAACTCAATGTCCCGCCATCACCGGAGCTGCTCCACGCTTTGGGAAGAGTAAGGAAAATCGGGAAAAAAGGAGCTCCTTGTGGCAGATCCGTGAGGATGCTCCGAAGGACGGAGAGGAAAAAAACCCTAAAAACCACAGGAGAAGCGTTTTCCACGTGCTCCCTCCAGACAGGCCTGATGATGGATCGCCCCCAACGAAGGTAATTTGGGATTTACGGCTCCGTGAAACCACAATTGTTTTAATTTGCTGCCGGCGTTTCATCCGGATCTGTCTGGAGCAGCTGGAAGATCTCGGCTCCGTCGTTTAACGGAGTCGGAGATGGATAGGGATGGAATGGGAATGAGGTCATTCTGATGGAAAATCACTGCTGGGTTGGGCAAGACCCACCACCCCCATTCCAGAGGCTCCTGCTCCGGTCCTGCCTGATTCCCATTCCTGAAGCTTCTCCCCTTCCTGTCTCTCACCACGGATCCTCCATCAGATGACGACGGGAAGAGCCGGAGCGGAACACGAAGAGCAACAGACTGTTCTCTGGTAATTAAGGCTGAAGTTCATGAAATCTTGGAATGGTTTGGGTTGGAAGGGACCTGCAAGATTATCCAGGTCCAACCTCCTGCCATGGGCAGGGACACCTCCCACCATCCCAGGTTACTCCAACCTGGTCTTGGACACTTCCAGGGATGGGGCAGCCACAGCTTCTCTGGGAAATCCATCCCAGCCTCCCAGGGAAGAATTCCATCCCGATATCCCATCTAACCCTGCTGGCATTTTGAGGGGGATGACGAGTCACATCCAAGCTAAAAGCATCCAAAATCTGAGGTTTAATCAAACCCAGCACTTCCAAAAGCCCTTTTTTTTCCAGCACCAATTATTCCCAGGACCTTCCCGCTCCTACACAACCTCCAGGTTTTCCCTTGGCCTCCGAGATGCCCCCTGGAAACATCTCCAGTCGATTTAGGAAGACTCTGACTCAAGGCTACGGCACCATCCTTGGATGACACCCTTTTCCAGGTGGGTGCCGACATATTTCCGGATGGGAAAACCGGGAAAAGAGGCGACTTTGCGCCGGCACCTCCATCCCGGGGAAGGTTTGGAGCATCTCCCTCCCACCCGACAAGGCGCCGACACATTTATTCTTCCTCCTTCCAGCTGATTTAACTGCTCCAGGGAAACAAGTGATTCCAAGGGGGAATTAATCGGGAGCTTAACCCGATGACTAAAACCATTTTCCACTTGAAGTCAATAAGCTCGGTTTTAGAAGGACTAAACAAACGGAATAACATGGAGCCGGCGTGGGAATTGGCCCGGCTCCCGCATCCCAACAGCTGCATTTTAGGGATGGAAAAATTACCTGGATGTCCCGGGGCGCCTCGTCTTCCAGGTGGGAATGGGGCTGGAGAAGGAGGACAAGGCTGGAGTGGTCACGTTTTTTTTCACGATCCTGTAGCGGGTCTTGATCACCTTGTTGGAAGGGGGGCTCCTGGCCAAGGAGAAGTTGGATCCTAGGAGGAAGAACATGGAAAAAAAAGGGCTTGGAATTCGGGTGCGGATGGGACAGGAGAGATCTCACCGATGGAATTGTTAAGGCTGGAAAAGACCTTTAAAAGGTTTTTCAAGTCACGGAATCGCGGACTAACAGAATATTCCAACCATCAGAGGTTCCGTGTCCAACTTAGGTGCTACCCAACTCCTTAGAACCTGGAAAAGGGATGGAAGAGCCCTGGGATGTGTCAGGGATGGGACAACCCTGGCGGATGGTAACGGGAAGGGCCTGGTGGCCTTGGGGGTGTTCGGTTCCAGCAGCCCCTCAGCAAAACTCCACCAGGGGAATCATGGATTCCCCAACACCTTGATCCCAATATCCCCCCTGGAAAAGGATTTATCCATTCAGTCCGGTATTTTTCATCCCTGGAAGCATCCAAAACCAGGTTGGACAGGGTTTGGAGCAACCTGGGACAGCGGGAGGTGTCCCTGTCCCCAGTAGGGAATGATCTTTCCCTTCCAACCCTAACCAATCTGGGATTCTCCACTTCCCAGGATGACCCACACGCCAGGATTTTGCATGGAACATTCCCTGCAATTCCCAATTCCCAACTCCGTTTTTTCCCCCTCTTGGACAGCGAGGTCATTTTTTTTCCCTGGCTTTCAGGGAATGTATCCAAGGTCCCGACTTTTACAACTTCCAGCTGGAAGTTCCCAGATAATTAAAGCTGACCCTCCATGCCCAGACCCGGCCTTGTCGGTTTAGACCTGATTTAAAGGGTCGGTTGTTTTTCTTGGAGATCCTCTCCATAAAATTCATGGCAGGTTCAGAGGGGAAAAGCGGGAATCGTTATTCCCCCTGGAAACATTGTCCCCATCCCAACATTTCTCTTGGCCAGAGGAGGGAGAATATCTCATCCCACTTAAATTCAGGATGCTGGAGCGGTGTCCAAACAGGAAAAATAGGGAAATATGTTTTGGAGTCAATCTTATTCCTTAGAAATCAGGGAGCAGCTTCCCACTGTCTCTGCAACAGCAGTGACGTCAATCCATGGATTTACACTTTCACACAGGGAATATTTTCCTTCTTGAGCGTTCCCAACAAGTTTGTGTTGGGTTTGGGAAGGAACAGGTGACACAGATTTCCGCTCCCAAACTCAGTCGGACTCCTGATGGTGGGGGAAGGAGAAAACCAGGCTCTGCCAGGACGGAAAAATCCCTGGAATTTTTCCTAATAAAGACATTCCTCGATCCGATACCGCGGGATAAATGAGCACTGAGGAAGGAGCACATGGAGGGATTCACATCCCCGAAAGCCCCAATATCACACAAACATTCCCTTTTCTACAGTTGCAATAAAATTTGGGAAGTGTTTGGGATAAATATCTCACCCAGTTCAGCCTTGGCATTGCTTCTGCCCACGCCACAGGAGGTGGAACCTCCAAACCCCTGGATGAAGCCAAGATCCCAAATCCAAAGGGTAAATTTAAGACTCCTTCTCATCCCTCCAACTCCTATGTGGGACTTTGGCTTAATTAACACATGGAAACAATGTTCCCATGCAAATTATTTTGGGCATCAGCAATTTTGGTCATGGAATCATGGAATGGCTCGGGTTGGAATGGATCTTAAAGATCATCTCATTCCAAGCCTTCTCCCACAGGAAGGGAATGATGCTTCCAAAACCAATCCACTGCTGGGAAAACAGGGAGCATCCCTAAAATCAGAAGTGCTATGAAGCACATTCCAAGGAAAGGTTCTTTAAGTCCTTCACCGGTTAATGTTGAACAGATGGAAAAGCAGGAAGATAAAGGAAGTCACTTCAAGAGCTTCTGGGGATTTGGAATAAAAATGAAAATAGAAGGAATTCTGATAAAACAGGAGGTTTTGTGCTGCCTCCAGTTCTGGGATCTCCAACAGCAGAGGGATGTGGAGATGCTGGAGAAATTCCAGAGGAGGCCACGGAGATGCTCCGAGGGCTGGAGTTCCTCTGTTCTGGAGCCAGGCTGGGAGAACTGGGAATGTCGAGCCTGGAGAAGGGAAGGATCCAGGGAGACCTGAGAGCCCCTTCCAGGGAGAGCTGGAGAGGGACTGGGGACAAGGGATGGAGGGACAGCACACAGGGAATGGCTTTCCAGGGTTAGATGGGATATTGGGAAGGAATTCTTCCCTGGGAGGGTGGGTAGGGGCTGGGATGGATTTCCTGGAGAAGTTCTGACTGCCCCATCCCTGGAAGTGTCCAAGGCCAGCTTGGAGCAACCTGGGATGGTAGGAGGCGTCCCTGCCTATGGGCAGGGGGTTGGAATTCCATGACCTTCAAAGTTCCCTTCCAGCCCCAAACCATTCCACGACTTGGAGAGAGGAGGAATCCCGACTTTGAAGGTGAGAGAAGAAGCGAGAGAGGAAAGATGACAGAGACACGAACTGGTTTTCCATCACAGTTTCCCCATCCCAGGATTTCTTCACTCCCACCAAATTCCTCAGGGCATCGCCTGAACAATTGCCTGACCTTGGACACTTCCAGGGATGGGGTAGCCACAGTTCCTCTGGGAATTCCATCCCAGCCCCTCATCACCCTCCCAGGGAAGAATTCCTTCCTGATATCCTATCCAACTCCACCCTGTGACACTTTTGTCCCCTGGGATGTGTGGACACATCCAGCCCCTCACGGATACAGCCCCACGTCCCCAAACACGACCCCCAACACCAACCACACCCTCAAAGCAGCTCCTTCCCACCGGGAAAAGAGCCACAATCCCACCCCCTCCCCAAACAACACCAGCACAAATCCACCCTTTCCCTCCCCCGCTCCCACCTCCCAAAATTACTAAGCCAGGAATTCACCAGATCCATAATTAACACCTTTTTTTGCCCGAGCTGCCACTAATCAACCCAGAAGCTCATCAGGCAAGAAACACAGGTCCCAAATCGTGGTTGTCTCCCCCTCCTCCTCCTCCTCCTCTTCCTCCTCCTCTTTCCCAAACCGGGTTGGCACCTGGAAAACTCTATTCCCGACGGTAATTGGATGGTGCATTCAAGCCGGAGCGGCTCTTTGGGAAGCGCTCCCGGCATTAACCACCTCCTCAAAGAGCCTCTCGGCAGAGCCGCGCTCTCTATTATGACTTGCTTGCCGAGGGGTTTTGTGTAGATAATCATGTTATTTAGCCGGGATGTTGGTTTAATTCCCTTCATTACAGGCTCCCGGGGTTGTAATTTTTCCCTCTCCGCGTGATGAATTCCCGGTGGCACATTTCACTCAAATCAAACACTCCAGGCTTTTATTACAAACAATACCCCGGCGTCCCCCGTTATCAGCCCGGCGCACGCGTCCCCCCCCTCCCCGCCGCGATCCAGAGGTCACTCCTAATGACTAATCGATCTCATTAGCTTTCCTAATTAAAAACTTTACTACCGCAGTGGAAGACAAAGTACAAAAAAACTGCTGGCATCATATTCGGGGGGGATATGAGCCTCGTTTATCAGCCGGGGCCCAGCCTTGCTGAGCTCGGGGTTTCTTCGGAGAAGCGAATCCCGAGCGCAGAATGCCAGAATCCCGGAATGAACCGGGTTGGAAAAGACCCCCGAGATCGGCGAGTCCAACCCGTGCCCCAACCCCACCTTGGCACCCAGCCCATGGCACCGAGTGCCACGTCCAGGCTCTGCTTCAACATCCCCAGGGATGGGAACTCCACCCCCTCCCTGGGCAGCCTATTCCAATGGCTGATCCCTCTCTCTGGAAAGAACTTCTTCCCAATGACTGATCTAAACCTCCCCTGGCACAAATTGAGACCGAGCCCTCTTGTCCTACTGCTGGTTCCTGGGAGCAGAGCTCAAATCCCCCCGGCTCCTCGCTCCTGTCAGGTAGTTGCAGAGAGTGAGAAGGTCTCCCCCAAGCCACCTCCTCTCCAGGCTCAGCCCCCCCAGCTCCCTCAGCCTCTCCTCATGAGAATTGTGCTCCAGACCCTTCCCCAGCCTCGTTGCTCTTCTCTACACCTGCTCCAGCCCCTCCCTGTCCTTCCTGAACTGAGGGCCCAGAGCTGGACACAGCACTCCGAGTGAGGTCTCACCAGTGCTGAGTCCAGGGGAAGAATCACTTCCCTGCTTCTGCTGCCACACTGTTCCTGATCCAGACCCCCGTTCCCATGGAAAGAATCACAGGGTGAACTCCAGTCGTGGAGTTGTTAAGGTTGGAAAAGAGCTTGAAAGTCATCGAGCTGCAGAGGGGCCCAGAGAGGCTGGAGAGATGGGATGAATCCAACGGGATGAGGTTCAACAAGGCCAAGAGGCAGGTCCTGCACTTTGACCACAACAACTCCCTGCAGCGCACGGACAGAGTGGTTGGAGAGAGAGAGGGATCTGGAGGTGTGGATGGACAGCAGCGGGACATGAGCCCAGGGGTGCCCAGGGGGCCAAAAAAGCCAATGGATCCTGGCCTGGATCAGGAACAGTGTGGCAGCAGGAGCAGGGAATGGATTCTGCCTCTGGACTCAGCGCTGGTGAGGCCTCACCTCAAGTGCTGTGTCCAGCTCTGGGCCCTCAGCTCAGGAAGGACATGGAGGGGCTGGAGCAGGTGCAGAGAAGAGCAACGAGGCTGGGGAAGGGTCTGGAGCACAATTCCCATGAGGAGAGGCTGAGGGAGCTGGGGGGGCTCAGCCTGGAGAGGAGGAGGCTCAGGGGAGACCTCCTCACTCTCTGCAACTCCCTGACAGGAGGGGGGGAGCGGGGGGGGGGGTGTCAGGCTCTGCTCCCAGAAAGCACCAGTAGGACAAGAGGGCACAGCCCTGAGCTGTGCCAGGGGAGGTTTTGGTTGGACATTGGGAAGAAGTTCTTTACAGGGAGAGGGACCAGACCTTGGAATGGGCTGTCCAGGGAGGGGGTGGAGTCCCCGCCCCAGGGGGTGTTGAAGCAGAGCCTGGACGTGACACTCGGTGCCATGGGCTGGGTGCCAAGGTGGGGTTGGGGCACGGGTTGGACTCGACGATCTCAGGGGTCTTTTCCAACCCGGTTCATTCCAGGATTC